TCAACTCTCCCTGTAACCTCAACTTAACTATACTCCTTAACTTAACTCAAATCTCCCCATAATCTCAACTAAACTCTCCCCGTAATCTCAACTCAACTCTCCCCGTTATATCAACTTAACTCAACTCTGCTCTTAAACTCAACTCTCCCTGTAATTTTAACACAACTATCTCTCTAGAATCTAAACTCAACTCTTCCCGTCATCTCAATTTAACTCTTCTCTTAAACTCAACTCAAGTCACCCAGTTATCTCAACTCAACTCTCCCCTTATCTTAACTCTCTTCTGAAACTCAACACTCCCCATAATCTCAACTCAACTCTCTCCGTAATCTCAACTTTCCCTGTAATCTCAACTCAACTTAACTCTCCTCTTAAACTCAACTCTCCACATAATTTCAACTCAACTCTCCTCGTAACCTCAACTGAACTCAACTCTCCCCATAATCTCAACTCAAGTCACCCTGTTATCTCAACTCAAATCTCCCCGTATTCTCAACTCAACTATCCCCTTATTTCAACTTAACTCACCTCTCCTCTTAAACGCAACTCTCTCCATAATCTCATCTCAACTCTCCTTGTAATCTCAACTCAACTGTCCCCTTACTTATGTCAACTTTACTCAACTCTCTTTTAAACTCAACTCTCCCCATAAATTTCAACTTTACTCACCCCGTTATCTTAACTCAACTCTCCCCATCAATGTCAACTCAACTCTCCCCTTACCCCAACTAACTTCCTCTTAAACTCAACTCTCCCCGTAATCACAACTTTTCCTGTAATCTCAACTCAACTCTCATCATAACCTCAACTAAACTCAAATCTCCTCTTAAACTTAACTCAAATCTCCCCATAATCTCAACTCAACTCTCCCCGTAATCTCAACTTTCCTTGTTATCTCACTCTCCCTGTAACCTCAACTTAACTCTCCTCTTAAACTTAACTCAACTCTCCCCATAATCTCAACTCAACTCTCCCCGTAATTTCAACTCAACTCTCCCCGTAATCTCAACTTAACTCACCTCTCCTCTTAAACTCAACTGAACTCAACTCTCCCAGTAATTGCAACTCAACTCTCTCTAGAATCTCAACTCAACTCTTCCTGTAGTCTCAACTTAACTCTCCCCTTAAACTCAACTCAAGTCACCTAGTTATCTCATCTCAACTCAACTCTCCCCATAAATCTCAACTCAACTCTCCCCGTAATTTCAACTCAACTCTCCCCATAATCTCAACTCAAGTCACCAAGTTATATCAACTCAACTCTCCCCATAAATCTCAACTTAACTCTCCCCTTTAGTTCAACTTTCTCTGTTATCTCAACTCAACTCTCCCCTTATCTCAACTTAACTCTCCTCTTAAACTTAATTCTCCCCATATTCTCGACTCAAATCTCCCCGTAATCTCAACTTTCCCTGAAACCTCAACTTAACCCAACTCTCCTAAATTTAACTGAACTCTCCCCATAATATGAACTCAAATCGCACTGTAATTTCAACTCAACTATCCCCATAATATCAACTCAACTCTCCCCGTAATCTCAACTCAAGTCAGCCCGTTATTTAAACTCAACTCTCCCAATAAATCTCAACTCAACTCTCCCCGTAATCTAAACTCAACTCTTATCTCAACTTAACTCTCCTCTTAAACTCAACTGAACTCAACTCTCCTCTTAAACTTAACTCAAATCTCCCCATAATCTCAACTCAACTCTCCCCGTAATCTCAACTTTTCCTGTTATCTCAACTTAACTCTCCTCTTAAACTTAACTCAAATCTCCCCATAATTTCAACTCAACTCTCCCTGTAATCTCAACCTAACTCAACTCTCCTCTTAAACTTAACTCAACTCTCCCCATAATCTCAACTCAACTCTCCCCTTAATCTCAACTCAACTCTCCCCGTAATCTCAACTCAACTCTCCCCTTATCTCAACTCTCCTCTTAAACTTAACTGAACTCAACTCTCCCCATATTCTCAACTCAAATCTCCCCGTAATCTCAATTTTCCCTGTAACCTCAACTCTCCTAAACTTAACTGAACTCAACTCTCCCCATTATCTCAACTCAAATCTCACCGTAATTTCAACTCAACTATCCCCATAATCTCAACTCAACTCTCCCCCTAATCTCAACTTTTCCTGTTATCTCAACTCAACTCTCCCTGTCGCCTCAACTTAACTCTCCTCTGAAAATTAACTCAAATCTCCTAATAATCTCAACTCAACTCTCCCTGTAATCTCAACCTAACTCAACTCTCCCCGTAATCTCAACTCTCCTCTTAAACTCAACTCTCCCCGTAATTTCAACTCAACTCTCTCTCTAGAATCTCAACTCAACTCTTCCCGTCATCTCAATTTAACTCTCCCCTTAAACTCAACTCAAGTCACCGAGTTATCTCAACTCAACTCTCCCCGTAATTTCAACTCAACACTCCCCATAATCTCAACTCAACTCTCCCCGTAACCTAAACTTAACTAAACTCTCCCCATAATCTCAACTCAAGTCACCCCGTTATCTCAACTCAACTCTCCCTATAAATCTCAACTTAACTCTCCTTTTACACTCAACTTAACTGAACTCTCCCCATAATCTCAACTTTCCCTGTTATCTCAACTCTCCCTGTAACTTCAACTTAACTCAACTCTCCTCTAATACTCAACCCTCCGTATAATCTCAACTCAACTCTCCCCGTAATCTTAACTCAACTCTGTCCTTTATCACAACTCTCCCCTTAAACTCATCTCTCCCCATAATCTCAACTTTCCCTGTAACCATAACTCTCCTCTTAAACTCAACTCTCCCCATAATCTCAACTCAACTTTCCCTGTTATCTCAACTGAATTCAACTCTCCCCATAACCTCAACTTTACTCTACTCTCCTCTTAAACTCTCAACTCCCCTTTAATCTCAACTCAACTCTCCCCGTAATCTCAACTTAACTCTCCTCTTAAACTCAACTCTCCCCGTAATTTCAACTCAACTCTCTCTCTAGAATCTCAACTCAACTCTTCCCGTCATCTCAATTTAACTCTCCCCTTAAACTCAACTCAAGTCACCCAGTTATCTCAACTCAACTCTCCCCATAAATCTCAACTCAACTCTCCCCTTATCTCAACTTAACTCAACTCTCTTCTTAAACTCAACACTCCCCATAATCTCAACTCAACTCTCCCCGTAATCTCAACTTTCCCTGTAATCTCAACTCAACTCTCCCCGTAACTCTCCTCCTCTTAAACTCAACTCTCCCCATAATCTCAACTCAACTCTCCTCGTAACCTCAACTTAACTCAACTCTCCCCATAATCTCAACTCAAGTCACCCCGTTATCTCAACTAAACTCAACTCTCCCCATAAATCTCAACTCAACTCTCCCCGTATTCTCAACTCAACTATCCCCTTATTTCAACTTAACTCACCTCTCCTCTTAAACGCAACTCTCCCCATAATCTCAACTCAACTCTCCTTGTAATCTCAACTCAACTCTCCCCTTACTTATGTCAACTTTACTCAACTCTCTTTTTAAACTCAACTCTCCCCATAAATCTCAACTCAACTCTCCCCGTAATTTCAACTCAACTCTCCCCTTATCTCAACTAAACCCAACTCTCCTCTTAAACTTAACTCAACTCTCCCCATAATCTTTACTCAACTCTCCTCGTAATCTCAACTCAACTCTCCCCGTAATCTCAACTCAACTCTCCCCTTATCTCAACTTAACTCAACTCTCCTCTTAAATTTAACTAAACTGAACTCTCCCCATAATCCCAACTTTCCGTGTTATCTCAACTCAACTCTCCCTGTAACCTCAACTTAACTCAACTCTCCTCTTAAACTTAACTCAACTCTCCCCATAATCTGAACTCAACTCTCTCCGTAATCTGGACTTTCCCTGTTATTCATCTCAACTCAACTCTCCTCTAATACTCAACCCTCCGCATAATCTCAACTCAACTGTCCCCGTAATTTCAACTCAACTCTCCCCGTAACCTCAACTCTCCCCATAATCTCAACTCAAGTCACCTCGTTATCTCAACTAAACTCAACTCTCCCATAAATCTTAACTCAACTCTCCCCGTAATCTCAACTCAACTCTCCCCTTATCTCAACTCTCCTCTTAAACTTAACTGAACTCTCCCCATAATCTCAACCCAACTCACACCATAATCTCAACTTAAGTCACCCCGTTATCTCAACTCAACTCTCCCCATGAATCTCAACTCAACTCTCCCCTTACCTCAACTAACTCTCCTCTTAAACTCAACTCTCCCCATAATCTCAACTCAACTCTCCCCGTAATCACAACTTTTCCTGTAATCTCAACTCAACTCTCATCATAACCTCAACTAAACTCAACTCTCCCCTTAAACTCAAGCCTCCGCATAATCTCAACTCAACTTTCCCCATAAATCTCAACTCAACTCTCCCCGTAATCTCAACTCAACTCTCCCCTTATCTCAACTTAACTCAACTCTCCTCTTAAACTCAACTGAACTCAACTCTCCCCATAATCTCAACTTTCCGTGTTATCTCAACTCAACTTTCCCTGTAACCTCAACTTAACTGAACTCTAAAACTTAACTCAAATCTCCCCATAATCTTAACTCAAATCTCCCCGTAATCTCAACTTTCCCTGTTATCTCAACTCAAACTCTCTTCGTAATCTCAACTTAACTCAACTCTCCTCTTAAACTTAACTCATTTCTCCCCATAATCTGAACTTAACTCAACTCTTAAACTCAACTCTCCCAGTAATTTCAACTCAACTCTCTCTCTAGAATCTCAACTCAACTCTTTCCGTAATCTCAACTTAACTGTCCCCTTTATCTCAACTCAAGTCACCCATTTATCTCAACTCAACTCTCCCCATAAATCTCAGCTCAACTCTCCCCTTATCTCAACTCAACTCTCCCCTTATTTCAACTTAACTCAACTCTCCTCTTAAACTCAACTCTCCCCATAATCTCAACTCAGTGCTCCTCGTAATCTCAACTCAACTCTCCCCTTACCTCAACTCTCCTCTTAAACTCAACTGAACTCAACTGTCCCTATAACCTAAACTCGACTCTCCCCGTAATGTTAACTTTCCCTGTAATCTCAACTCCCATAAACTCAACTCCCCATAACCTCAGCTCTCCCCTTAACCCAGCACTCAATTTTCCTCTTCAACTCTTCACTCAACTCTCCCCCAACTTAACTAGAATGAAAACTGATTTATTGAAAAATTTACATGAAAAAGTTTAAGAAATTCAGCAGGTTAATTAAATGTTCACAACAAAATATAAAGTTGGTGATTGACATATCCCTTCCAAGTGATAATATATGCATAATGTCTTTTCTTCTATTACACATCCATAGTTTGAAGTATGCTTCCTGAAATATAAAGAAATATACATTTTATTATATTTTTTTTTCCAACAAATAATTTTTCAACTTGGCAGTATTCTTATTTTCTTAAATAAAGACATCACCTCTGATAATTTCAGCATAAAAGGCAGTTGAGAATCACAATGTACTGTTAATAACTAACATCTGAAAATATTTATTTACTTCACAGCATTTGAAACTGATATATCATAATTATACAATTGTTTACCAAAAATTAAAAGAGGGCGAAAAAGTTGATATTAAATGTTGATTAACATTATTTTTCAAATACCATTTGTCCTTCCTAAAAAATTGATCTATAGTAAAAACACTACGAGGCATGATTATTAAAGATCAAAAAGATATAAAAGTCTTAAAGGAAGAAAGACATGGTGGGAAATTATGAAGTTACCTATGTCTGCCATGTATATATGTAGTTTCTGTCATCTTTATATGATCTGTACTTGCTAAGATAGGTTTCCCTGAAACAACAATCATAATTTTTGAGTTTGATTGTAGCTTTGAGTGCAATACCTTCTTTCTCCCTCAGATTTCTGCACTTCTTCTCAGTGAGATCTATCTCCCTACATAGTTTCATGTTTTATACCTTTTATACTTCTCAAGTTATGTCTTGGACAATGCAAAGTGTAAAAATGAACAAAGGGCAATAACTAAAACATTAGGGTAGGGAGGGTTAGTTCTTCTGCAATGCAGTTCTTCTCAGTGAGATCTATCTACCTAAATAGTTTCATGTTAATACCTTTTATAGTTCTTAAGTTATGTCTCGGACAATGTTCAAAAGGTAAAAATGTACAAAGGGCAATAACTTCAAAATTAGGGCAGGGAGGGTTATGGTTCTTCTGCACTGCACTTCTACTCAAGGCTATATACCTCTAAAGTTTCACATTGATACCTTTTATGGTTCTCAAATTATGTCCAGGAAAAAATTCAAAGTGTCAAAATGAAAAAAGGGCAAAAAACTTCTGAACTGCACTTAAAGTCATTCAAATGTATCAGTTTCATGTTGATACCAGGTTATATAGTTCCCAAGTTATGTCCCAGACAAAGTTGAAAGTGTAACAGTGAACAAAGGGCAATAACTCCAAAATAAGAGAAGGGAGGATAACTGTTATTATACACTGCACTTCCACTCAGTAATGCACTTCTTCTCATTAAGATCTATCTACGTACACAGTTTCTTGTTAATACCCCTTGTGGTTTTAGAGTTATGTCCAAGACAATTTTTAGTTCTAAGTGTAAAAATAAAGGGCAATAACTCCTAAATTAGGCAGGACAGAGTTATGTTTTTGCACTGCACTTTCACACATTGAGATCTATCTACCTACAAAGTTTGATGTTGATACCTTTTATAGTTTAAGAGTAATGTCCAGGTCAAAGTTCAAAGTGTAAAAATAAAGGGCAATAACTCCTAAATTAGGCAGGACAGAGTTATGTTTTTGCACTGCACTTTCACGCATTGAGATCTATCTACCTACAAAGTTTGATGTTGATACCTTTTATAGTTTAAGAGTAATGTCCAGGACAAAAATCAAAGTGTAAAAATAAACAAAGGGCAATAACTCCAAAATTAGACAAGACAGAGTTATGTTTTTTTTGCACTGCACTTTTACCCAATGTGATCTATCTACCTATGATACCTCTTATAGTTTTAGAGTTATGTCCAGGTCTAGGTTTAAAGTGTAAAAATAAAAAGGGCAATAACTCCAAAATTGAGCAAGATAGAATAATGATTATTTCGCACTGCACTTCTACAAAATAAGATCAATCTATCTACAAAGTTTCATAATGATATCTCTTATAGTTTTAAAATTATGTCCAAGATTAAGTTCAAAGTGTAAAAATAAACAAAGGGCAATAACTCTAAAATTAGACAAGATAGAGTTATGGTTCTTTTGCACTGAACTTTTACCCAATGCGATATTTATACCTACAAAGTTTCATGTTGATATCTCTTATAGTTTTAGAGTTATGTCATGGACCAAATTCAAAGTGTAAAAATAACAAAGAGCAGTTATTCCAAAATCAGGCAAGGCAGAGTTATGTTTTTGTGCACTGCACATTCACTCAATGAGATTTATCTTCCTACAAATTTTCATGTTGATATCTCTTGTTGTTTCAAAGTTATGTCTTGGACAAGAATAGCAAACAGACGGACAAAGCGACAACTATGGGAGGATATCACAAGAACAGCATTATAAGTTATATTTCCTATAAATTGCCCATGCGTCCACATGTATTCATCACATCAACTGACTTCTTAAAGGGACTCCACTGAGGTTTTTTGACATGATGGGACTGAAAATTTTTTTTTCCAGATAAATGTACCATTTGATGTAGGTTTAGACCACTTATCTTTGTGCAAAATTTTAGATCATTCCAAATTAAGTTTTTCCAGAATAATTATTCAAATTGTAAAAAAATGACTGAAAATGAAAAGCATTTAAATGCTTTTCACTCAAATCGGGCTAGGAAAAAAAAGCATAAAAATACAATTTTCAATTTATTTCAAAGTACATTAATTTCTTAACTATCTTTGCATATATTTCTGTTTAAAGTGCCCAAGCTCATTTATGTGTTATGTTTTAGGTTTTTAAATCTCAGTGGAGTCCCTTTAAACCTGTCAAGTGTGAACGTAGCCTTGTGATGTCAAAAGTGTTAACAATCAATACGCAATACTGTATAAGTGGATTATTTTTGCGTCACAAAAATGTGGAATTCAAAAAGGGGAATTTTTGCATGAGGAAATATTTGTCAAAATATGATTCCTTTAATTTTACATCTATAATCAAGCAGGAACATGTTAAGAATATGTCATTTTTGTCATCATTCTATTATAAACAGTAACTTTACATCTTTATTATTTATATAATTGTTTGAAATGTACATTTCTTTGTCATATTTTGAAACATTCTTTTGTTATACGAATAACCTTTTGTGTTATTAACACATATATTATTTCATTGAGAACAAGAACTGTCAGAGGACAGTTACACTCGACTATTCGAAAAAGTTGACACAAGGGTGTTTCATTGAGTATAATAATGCTTACCTATATGAATAGGTAAGCTTGTCCGAAAAGGTACAAAGGCTTGTTATTAAGATGTTTTATCAAGTTAATCACTGCTTTATCATCATGAATGCATAAAATTGTTCCAAAAAAGGCACAAACCCTTCAGTAGTTATGGAGATACCAGCTTACAAGCAAAAACTTTACCAAGAATTTCTAAGCCGAAAAAAGTGCATGATTATGAAAAAAATAAGAATTATGGGACTTGTGCCAATCATGTTAAATAATCACAGAGAGCATTGTGTGTGAAGTTTAAATCCATTCCGTTTAGTAGTTATGCAGATACCAGCTTGCATGCAAAAATTAACCAAGAATTTTGAAGTCCAAAAAGGGGCATAATTATGCAAAAAGCTAATAAGAGTTATGGGACTTGTGCCAATCATGTTAGATTAGCATTGAGAACAAGTGTGTGAAGTTTCAATCCATTCCCTTCAGTAGTTATGGAGATACCAGCTTGCACACAAAAACTTAACCAAGAATTTTGAAGTCGAAAAAGGGGCATAATTATGCAAAAAAGCAAATCAGAGTTATGGGACTTCTGCCAATCATGTCTGATAATCACAGAGAACAAGTGTGTGAAGTTTCCATCCATTCCCTTTAGTAGTTATGGAGATACCACCTTACACACAAAAACTTAACCACAGGGACGCCGACAAATGGGTGACTGCATTAGCTCGATTATTCTGCGAATAGTCAAGCTAAAAATTAATCTCAGTACCTGAACATTTAAACTTATTCATGTAAGATGCTGTCACATGAAAACGAGTTTTCAAATGATAGAAGAAAGTTTGCCTAAAAAGAAATCAATTTTGCATGATCAATTATTTGTGAATAATTTCAATACGCAAATATTGCAAATATATAGTATATGAATGTTTTTAGCATATGCAAATGAATAAAGTACAAATGTGATGCGTATTATCCAATTAATTAAAAGAACAAATCAAAGCTTTGCCCCTACTGTGATGGGGGTATATGCTTCTGTTAATATTTAGATTGCATTGACTTGACCTAGCTTGAACTTGATTAACCATTAATCAATTGTAACAATTAGATGTAGTTTATCTATTTCAAATGAAAAGTACACAACAGAGAGCTTATGAGATTTTTAGTGTCAGGGACAAGAAACAAGATTGCATTTGTAAAAAATGCCATGCCACCGCATAAATACAACACTAAATAGTAATGTAGGAACGCAATTTTTTTTTGCTTCTATACAGATTGCCATAATGTATAGATCACTTACCTATCTGATATTATCAGATTAGTACCTTCAGAAAATATGATTTTTAATTTTTTACTTTATGACATAGTGACTGAAAATCATGATCCCAAGAGGGGCGAATTTTGACCCCAGGGCTTTAATTTGAATAATCTTGCTAGAGGTTCACTACACAATATTTAATGCAAAATGTTTCACCTCTAGCCTTTGTCAATTCGAGAAGATGATTTATTAAAGTTTTTACTATCTACATGTATGTAATGACTCCCGGGGCGGGGCTAGTTTTGACACTAGAGGCAAAATTTGAACAACTTTGGTAGAGTACCTATAGATGATATCATATACTAAATATCAAAGCTCTAAGCCTTGTACCTTCAGACAATAAGATTTTTTAATTTTTTTACTAATTGTACATAGTGAAAATCAATGACCCCCAGGGGTGGGCCAATTTCGACCCCAGGGCTATAATTTGTATAATCTTGCTAGAGGTTCACTTCGCAATGCCTTATGCAAAATATCTAACCTCTAGCCTTTGTCAATTTAGAGAAGATGATTTTTAAGTTTTTACTATAATACATATGAGAAAAACCTATGACCCCCGGGGCAGGGATAATTTTGACACTACAGGCAAAATTTGAACAAATTTGGTAGACTACCTATAGATGATATCATATAACAAATATTAAAGCTCTAAGCCTTGTACCTTCAGACAATAAGATTTTTTGATTTTTTACAATATGTACATATGGAAAATCAATGACCCCCAGGGCGAGGCCAATTTTGACCCCAGGGCTATAATTTGTACAGTCTTGCTAAAGGTTCATTACACAATGTTTCATGCAAAATATCTAACCTCTAGCCTTTGTGAATTAAAAGAAGATGATTTTTTAAGTTTTTACTATATACATATAAGAAAAACCTATGACCCCCGGGGTGGGGCTGATTTTGACACTTGAGGCAAAATTTGAACAACTTTGGTAGAGTACCTATAGATAATAACACATACCAAATATCAAACCTCTAAACCTGGTACCTTCAGACAAGAAGGTATTTTAAGTTTTTACTATATGTACATAAAGTGAAAATCAATGACCCCCGGGGCCGGGCCGATTTGGACCCCAGGGCTATAATTTGAACAATCTTAGTAGGCGTCTACCAGACAATGCCTTATGCAAAATATCTAAGCTCTAGGCCTTTTGGGTCTTTACAAGAAGATTTTTTAAATTTATTCTTATAACTCCTTTTGGTTGCCATGGCAACCAGATTTCTGCATGGAATGAAATTCTTTGAACAACTTTGGAAGCCCTTCACCCAAGGATCAATCCTGCCAAGTTTGGTTGAAATTGGACTGGTGGTTTTTCACAAGAAGATTTTTTAAGTTCACTATATAATCTATATCACACACACACACACACACACACACACGCACACACACACACACACGCACACAAACAAACACACACACAGGTGAATCGCTATATACCACCGCATCGCAGATGCTGCAGTGGCATAAAAACAATAAAGGGAAAAAAATGTTTAACATGTACATCTACGGGATTCGTCCAATTACCCCAAAACACCCTAAGACTTAACTGCAAGACACCCAAAATAACTTATCTATTCTGTTAATTGGGAAAGTTTAATCCTATATTGCAACCCCCTCAGTGATAATCTAAGGGGAGAAACTAGGTACAACCAATGATATTATTGGAATTATCTCCCTGAGGTAGTGTGGACAGGTTGAAAATAAATAAATAAATTAGATGTTCTTCTCCCTAACTTGTTGGAATTAAATACTTGATGTAATTTTCAAATTCTTCTAAATTTAATAATATGTTTGTTTGTATGCGGTAACATAAAATTTAGCTAGAATTGCATTATACATCATGACATTCAGTTTTAACAGATCAGAACAAATTATCTTTTATTTCGAACATATATTTTGTAATAACTGTTTGTACAAATATGTCACGCAAAAAATGACATTGTCACAGAAACAAACTTGCACCGGTAACCCTGGCATTATTTCATTGTTTTAAACTATTTTGCAAAAAAAGGAATATATACTTATAATTATATTCTTACATTAAAATCAGTAAAACAAGACAAGAAATGCAGGTTTTTTTATTTATCATTCCATTCAGAGTTATAATCAGTGAAATATGGATATTACTTGTTGGCATGTACATGTGAAATTCATTTTCTCAGAAGGGAGATAATTCAATGTGTACATTTAAAAAATCACATAGTTACCTCCCTTAAATAATGTAAAATTAAACCACATTACTTCTTATACCAGAATCATCCATTTTTAATGTGCAAAATGCAAAGCGTTGCAACACTTTTCGCTCAATTGGGCTACAAATTACACAAAAAAAATGGATTTTCAATTTCATTTCGGGCATACTCTTTTGTCAGCCTTTGCATATTTTTCCATTTTAACTGCTTCACTTGATCTATGTACGAATAAATGTTTTATGTTTTTAGGTTTTTTGATCTCAGTGGAGCCTCTTTAATTAAGTGTCAATTTTTGGTGTTTCCCCTCAATACACTTAATTGTATTAGTAACTTATAACGCATTTCATTATCAAATTTACCTCAATGTTGAGTTTAATAAATTAATTTTTTTATATTGAATAGTTTAAAAGAAAAAAAAAGAAAAAAAATACAAATTAACTTCTTTATTGATTTTAACACTTTGCAATTTCAATTTAAACACATACACATGTTAAATCCCCATGGCCTAATTTGATCTGTAAATGAAGATATTTCCAATGACTTATCAATCTATTTATAATAACTTCTTGAAAGTTTGGTTATTTATTTTCACCACTTAATTATCAATCTTGACTTAAAATGTGATAAATGTGCACATGTCTAAATTGTTATGAATAAACATTTATTTCTACCTTTTTATGGTTCAACTAAATAGTGTCCATCTATCATCACTCTACAGTATTTAGTGAGCTGTCTGTCCAAAGTTATTGACATCTGTAATAACAAAATATAAATCAGATTTTCAAAAGGAAAATAGATTTCTCCATGAGGATTAATGTGTCTTAAGAATATTTGATTTCCTATATTATTTCTGGGATGATCTATTAATATTATTGTAAACATGCATATACAACTTTATGTATAACTTGGTTTAATTTAAGGTGCATTAACCTTTAAAGGATATTTGAACAAAAGAGTTAAAGATAACTTAAAAATTAAACATTGCTTTTTATAATGATTGATAAATGTATTGGTTTGTTTTATTTTTCCTTTTTTCATTGGTTTGGTTATATGTTAATTGTACCATATGGTTAGTTTTTAGCTTTAATGGAAAAGGAAGGCCACACCTTCAATGCATTATTTCAGGCAGGAACGGGCACCTAAGTAGAACCATTGACGTTTCTGTATGCTAGCAGGGCAGATTCCTCACAAGAAAGAATTAAAATCCCTTTCATGATTCAAACCCCCAGCAGGTGTGTACCAAGTGGTTTAAAGTCAACTGATTTAACAACTTGGTCACTTATAAATGTATTGCAATCATATCAATATATATACATGAAAATATATTGCAATATAATTGAAGTATACCATAATTAGTTGCAATACAGTGGCTTGATACTAATGTTACTTTAAAAAGTGATTCCCATGTACCGGGTTCAGTTTAATTTTGAACATGCTAGAACTGCAAATGATTTGTCTTATTTAGTTGCCACCATAATAAGAGCTACCTTTCAGTCTGCACATCCATACACTTACAAACTTGCTTGCATGATTTCAGTCGGCCATATTCCCTAGCTATGAATGATAACTCATTTTTCCCTGTCTAAAATTCCACCAAATTATTCCCCTTTTAAATGAACTCAAAGAAAGACTTTGTATTTAATATTAATTCAATTTTTTGTCAAGAAACTGAAATTTGTTTTCATTAACCTGATATACTTTATTTTCTATCTATATATGGTTGCTATGGTAAACATATGAGTTTTGATGGCTTTGTTTGTTTGGATGTTTACGGCACGTCAACACAATTAATTGACCATATCATGCCGATTGCTATAATAGGCTTAAAATTTTTATGTAAAACTTTGTAAATGACAATAAAAGAGTTTTGATGGTAAACAAAGGAATTTTCTGGACTGTAAGTAATCAAACACACAGCGACCGGTCATCACATGTAAACAATATTTTAAATGGGAAAGAATACTGAGATATTTGACAATGCAAAATATTAATATGGAAAACAACTATGTGTAGTTTATGTGTGTTACTTTGATTTGTTTGACTGACATACTAGTTGTAAAAGCCATGTACACTAAGTGCAGCAGCAGCCAGAAACATGACGCTTCGTAGCAACCACATTGAAAACGTGAATGGTAACTGAGATAATGGCAAAGCGCATGCTCACGCACCCACTTCCAATCTATCCAAATACTGCATATACATAAAGCGAAAGTTCTTATTTAGTGCCATACAGTCTGACCACTATCATAAATGTTGGTAGTTAAATTTGATATTGACAGTAGGACAAATCCAGCATACAAAAATTCTGCAGGTTAAAGGTACTAAGTTAGATAAAAAAAAAAAAACATTGTTATTACCTTCTTCTGGTAAAGGGTAATCGGTAAACAGTACTCCATGGAGCATTCTACAGTATCATCTGAGCTGTTTGAATGTCAAGAATTGTCTGTGAAAGAAAAATATTAAAACAATATTTAAAATGTTACTTAACCCATTACTTCATGAGCATTTTGTGAAAAATGGCTGTTTTCATTGAAAAGTCTCCCGTTACAAGTTCAAATTGCTATAATACTATAAAAACTGCTTCAACACTAATCAAACTTGGCACAAATGTTGACTGGACCATTGCCCTTGCAACAACATGCTCAGGCTTAAATTTTCTGTTACCATGGCAACGAGGGGACATCTCAAAATTGCCAAAAATCACTATTTTGCGTTGATTTTTTCCATCATAATTGATTTCAAAGTGCTGCAACTTCTCAATGGATTGAGATAGAGTCAACTGCTTTTCAGCGTTGGTTACACGTTACCTTATGATCAATCTGAGGTCATTTATAGCCTCTCACAAGTCCAAAATTTTCTTGGCGATGAGGGGAACTCCGCCCCCCTTCAAACCCCCCAAACAGAAGGGGGCACATCCCCCTTCTGGCAACCCCCTGATGTATCTTTTGGTTGGGGGGCTGCACCAAAAAAGTGGTCACTTTTTTTAACAACATTTCTCAAACAAAAACAAGTGTTGGGGGCCTAAATAAGGCATTTTTTCACCATTTGAGACAACAAAAAGGGGGGGGGGGTGAAAAAGGCGTTAAAAGGCGTGTATATGAAGTAATGGGTTAATAACCTAAATCTGTGCATCAATCTCTTATCATTTGTCTCAATATTAAGTATTTGTTTATACCATTTAAATTCCATTTGAAACTTATGTGATAAACGAAAACTTAAAATCATTATCTTACCAGCAGCTTCTGCGTTGTAATCCAGTAAACAGTTACAGATCCTGTCTATAACCTGAGCTTACAGGTCTGCCACCATCTTAACCTAGACAGACCTGTCTGCCACCAGTATACAGATAGACCGGTCTGACCTGAGCCTCTGCCACCAGTATACAGACAGACCTGTCTGACCTGAGCCTCTGCCACCAGTATACAGACAGACCTGTCTGCCACCAGTATACAGACAGACCGGTCTGACCTGAGCCTCTGCCACAGTATACAGACAGACCTGTCTGCCCTGAGCCTCTGCCACCAGTATACAGACAGACCTGTCTGCCACCAGTATACAGACAGACCCGTCTGACCTGAGCCTCTGCCACCAGTATACAGACAGACCCGTCTGACCTGAGCCTCTGCCACCAGTATACAGACAGACCTGTCTGACCTGAGCCTCTGCCACCAGTATACAGACAGACCTGTCTGCCACCAGTATACAGACAGACCCGTCTGACCTGAGCCTCTGCCACCAGTATACAGACAGACCCGTCTGACCTGAGCCTCTGCCACCAGTATACAGACAGACCTGTCTGACCTGAGCCTCTGCCACTAGTATACAGACAGAACTGTCTGAACATCCATTTACTCTGTATGGAGGCTCCATATTTTTATAATGGCTCAGTTTGTGTATTTTAATACTGAAATCCCTTAAACTTTTAATAATATACACTCCCAAAGTCAAAGCAGGGTAAATCAATGGTACAAATTTATCAAGATTATTCAAGGTTAACCTATTAGAATTATCTTTAATCTGGTGAAGCAGAAACCATGTAGCTTCCTGTAGCAAGCCTAAGGTGTGGGCCTACATATTCATGCGGATTGACAATGGCTCATTTTTGTATATTGTTATTCACACTCAGAAATCTATTACACACTGAATACACTGGTCCAATTAATATTCATCACACAAATTTAGCAAGTTTAAGGCAAACTAAACAGGTTTTAATCAGAGCTTAGAAAATTTTCGTTGCGTCAATTCCAAAATGTTCTATCTTCAATTTTTTGAAAAATTGAGATATTTATAGCATTGGAAAGCTGTTGAAGAGACCTACATAAACAAATGACTTAAAACATTATATCCCTAATTTTGAGAAAGGTTATACCAATTTCATTATGTTCTATCTCAGAAAGTGACCAACACTTTGATTCCAATATGTGAATATCTTAGGAAAATTCTTAAAATTGGGAAAAGGGCATCCACTATGAATCAACAGAGTGAAACATTAAAAAAGAAGATGAAACAAAAAGATATTCCAGGTTCGAAATTCAGCGTTGTGTTTTGTTGTTAACAAAGCAAATGTTAATACCACTGACATAATTTGTTCCTTATTAACAATTAGCTTTTATTTTTCTTGTTGTATTAGACCAGAAAGGCTCAGAAAAAAATTATGAACTGTTATATTTTTTCAGATTGCATATAAAATTCATTATATTTGATCTAGAAAGTGAAGATACATGTATGTATCAAAATCTAAATTAATGTTATAAGACTGTTTTTTTCCACATTTGGACATAAAACAGTTGTTTTACTCAATCTTTTGTTTGTAAATTTTACTGCATAAGTTTAAGCAGAAATAAATAAAATAGAACATTGTGTTTCACATAAGTTTTGTTTTGTTACGTCTAAAATGTTTTATCTTTGAAGGACATTCTTGAATTAATTTGAAATGTTGAACTTTAACTTCATAGTAACTTTATTGTTTTAGAATTCTGATTTAATCATAAAATACCCTTAATATTCAGATAGAAAAATGCATGCATGCTCAAATGTATACACAGATGGCATGTACCAAAAATGAAAGTTTCATGTTGAACAAGCAATTATCTTAGTATTGCAAGCAATCCATAAGTCCCCTACCGGATAGAACCCCATCAGCATTCTGAAGGGCCATTGGCCATTCACTAATGTGTAAATTTTTCTCTATTTTAAGTAAATTTGTTGGAAATGTTCTTTAAAAGTGATCACAGGAATAAGTTTTTATGAACAGACAGACAGACGAACTGAAGGACACTCTAAAGTTAATATTTGAAACATCCCTGTTACCAAAATATAACATTTTAAAAAGCAAAATTCTTAAAGAGAATAACTCTGGAATTAAAGATGCAATTTCATAAAAAGTTTCAGCTCTTTTTGACTAGTCACAAATATTGTTATATTTGCCATGTTTTAAGCCTATTTGTTGCCAAAGCAACCAATATTTTTTCAAAATAGGGGGAACTGATAAGACCTGCATAATCTCAAGATTGCCATCTACCCATATGTCAAGTTTCATAAAAATATTTCCAGTACTTTTTGAGTTACCACTGGATTCAGTTTATGTGTAAAATTTGCCATATTTTCAGTCTATGTGTTGCCATAGCAACCAGAATTTTCAACATAGGAAGAAAAGAAAAAGACGTGTATAATCTCCAGATTGCCATCTACACATATTACAAATTTCATAAAAATATTTCTATTACTTTTTGCGTTAACACTGGATCCAGTTTATGTGTAAAAATTGCCATATTTTCAGTCTATTTGTTGCCATAGCAACCAGAATTTTCAACATAGGAAGAAAAGAAAAAGACGTGCATAATCTCCATGCTGCCATCGATCCATGTATCAAGTTTCATAAAAATATTTCCAGTACTTTTTGCGTTATCACTGGATCCAGTTTATGTGTAAAATTTGCCATATTTTCAGCCTATTTGTTGCCATAGCAACCAGAATTTTAAACATAGGAAGAAAAGAAAAAGACTTGCATAATCTCCATACTGCCATCTATCCATATATCAAGTTTCATAAAAATATTTCCAGTACTTTTTGCGTTATCACTGGATCCAGTTTATGTGTAAAATTTGCCATATTTTCAGCCTATTTGTTGCCATAGCAACCAGAATTTTCAACATAGGAAGAAAAGAAAAAGACATGCATAATCTCCATACTGCCATCTATCCATATATCAAGTTTCATAAAAATATTTTCAGTACTTTTCAAGTTATCGCGGGATCCAGTTTTGTGGACGGACGGACTGACGGACGGACAGACGGACGGACGTTCTCACAGGACAGTAATTATGTGGCTACTCTATTGTTCTCTCTATTGTTCTTTTTAGCCACCCAAAAGAAAATAGCCACATAAAAGCATTACGGAATGAATGACATCAAAGAGAAAGAACAGTTACCTATTGTCCCTCTAGCCACATAATTACTCTCCTGTGAGTGCGGACAGACAGACAGACGGACGGAGGGTAAACCTAAAGTCCCCTCCGGTAAACCGGTAGGGGACTAATAATTGTCGAGATATGATACCTAAAAATTTTCAACTCAGTTTTCTCAAAAAATATTTCTGTCCACTAAGAACATTATGGAATTGAGGTGATGATTAATGATGAAGTGTACAAATAAAGTGTGATAAATGGAAGTTAAAAAAAATCATCTATAGTTGGTATCTTTTATATCCACTTTGTGTGAAGTCAAAACATGTTTATTTTATATTTATAATGAGACTGTGTAGCATTATCAATATTTTTTAAAATAAAATTTGAGCATAGTATATATAATCAAAAGCTGTTGGTAGGATAACAATGACGCTGAACTAGTCTTCAAACAAGAGCATGGATAATGTAAAAATTAACAAAGAGGAAGATTTCATTTTAGAAAAAATTACAGGACAGTTTGGATATTGATCATAAAAAAAGAATTTAAGTTCACGAATTTTCATCTAAAAGGGGCCAATCAAATTAATGTGAGCAAACTTGATAAAAGACTACCAAAGGATGCTACAGACAAAGTTTGGTGATCATCCATCAATTAGTTCTTTAGAAGAAGAGGTCTAAAAGTTTTCTATTTTTAGCTCTAGAGACCCCTAAAAGGGGCCAATCAAATTAATTTGGGCAAACTTGATAAAAGACTACCCAAGAATGCTACAGACAAAGTTTGGTGATCATTCAAAAATAAGTTCTGTAGTAGAAGATATTTAAAGGTTTTTCTATTTTTTAGCTCTGTTGACCCCTAAAAGGGGCCATTGAAATGACATGAGCAAATTTAAGTGTGACTGTCACAAGGATGCTACAGAACAAATTTGAAGTAAATCTGCCCAGCTGTTTCAGAGAAGAAGATGATTGTTGACGCATGACGCCAGAGCACCCCCCTTGGATACTAATAGCTCACCCTGAACCTTGGAATCTGGTGAGCT